TTGAATATATTTCAAAACATGTGAGGTAGTAGAAATAATGCAAAAAAGCTAATTTCATGGGAAAACCTAGTGTTGTTCTTCCAAATAGAAAACGTGAGTTTTTTTTACTTTTTTTAGTGTATTAAATTTCTCGAAATTTTATAAGTTCGACATTACAAAGTTTACAAAACCCTTACTGTTTAGTATCAGTAAATCCCATTTCTGACGAGCTTTCATTTGGTATAAAATCCATTATATACTCCTTCCTGATATAATATTATTTCCTCTAGGATATCAGTTAAGTTGGCCATCCCCATATATATTGACTTAATTTTCTATATGAAAATGTAGAGCTTTGTTTGCTCTATCTGATGGTATATTTTGTTTTTTAAATAAATTTAAATGGTTAACCAAAATTTAATTCACAAAAAAACGGCAATTTACTCTGCGCCACCCGCTATTTATCATCGTAAATATGCTTTCAAAAACTAGTGGGATAGCAATCAACCAACGCAGGATTTTCATTATGCCACTGGTTTATTGGCAGAAATTGATCGATGACAGTTTTAATTGAAATTCTTGTTCCTTTCATGAATTCATTGCTCATGTGAACCCTTCATTTTTATTCTCTGTAAATATTTTATTGTCTTTATATCACCTTGCAATCTGGTCTTTTCATGAAACTTTGTTATGAAATTTTTGGATTTTCACCGACTATTATTCATAACCTGAAAATTCTAATTCATATTGAATAATCTAACAAATTAATGTGTAAATTGATTCTTCGCACACTATTAACCGTTATCAGTATAGAATACAAAACAGTATTATTGTGCTGCTATCATTGAACTCAATGATGATATACAATTTTGTACAATTCCTCGGCACTTTATGTCTATCGGTTTTGTATTTGAGTTGCTTCTGTGATTTAAAAAACTTAAACAAGATAATGATCCTCTGGAAGTAGGGTGTAGGCGTGGGTGTAAACTTTATATGAGTGCATGCCAACACTCCATCCTACACTCATCCTCATCCTCATCCATACCCACATCCCATACCTAGAAGAGGAAAAGAAAAACTATATGGAATCATGATTCGAGTAATGTTGTTTCACCATTTGTTTACATAATTTAGTATTTTTAATTAACGTTTGTTCTGTAATAGAAGGAAATATTTGAATTTTGTCCAATTCTAGATAAGATACACATATACATATGGCGATATGCATGAATGCAAATCGTCACTTATTGGAAAACTCACCATATTCTGACAAGAAACTAGATAAGAACTATTTATTAACAACTTGAGCTCCGAAAGGGTGTGGGTGTGGGTGGGTGTGTGGGTGTGGGTGGGTGTGTGAGTGTGAGTGTGGGTGTGGGTGTGGGTGTGCGTGTGAGTGTGGGTGTGAGGGTGTGGGGTGTGGGTGGGTGTGGGTGGGTGTGGGTGGGTGTGGGTGGGTGTGGGTGGGTGTGGGTGGGTGTGGGTGTGGGTGTGGATAAGAGGGAATACTAGACTCATATCCGCACTCCACACCCACACCTCACACCCAAACCCACCCACACTCCACACCCACACCCACGCCCACACCCACACCCACACACCCACACTCAGCCACCTACACCCACCCAAAACCACAGCCACACCACATCACACCGTAGTTTCGTAGAGCGTGAAAAAGTGCATCGATCTATGTTATTAGCTTTGGCATTGAGATTAAAATAGAAAAAAAATTATGAACATTACAGTTATTATCCGAAACACTGGAAACCTACGAAAGACTCATAGATCTCCCGACAAAGTGGTCTTGAAAAAAACTTTTTCTGATCAAGAATAAATAACACTAAATATACAGAAGGGTGTAGAATATCAAACTCTATCTTTCCATAATATTGACAATGAAAACTGAGAGGTGGTGGATTTACGATGAAATCCCGCGGTGTCCTTTACATAAAATATTTTTCATGGGATGAAAAATAATACTTAACAATAATATTTGGTAACTTTATCTGTGGGAAAAAAGAGTGTCTGAATCATTTGCAGCTTATATAAATACAGCCATCGATTCGATGAATGTAGAAGTATCACATTATTTTCGTAATAGGGTTGCTTATGTGTCAATCTATGTAAGAATAACGAAGCAGTTTTCAATAAAACTGCGAGAAAAATCGACAAAAATCGGTGTCTTTGGACATTTAATGTCAATATAATCTCACGATTTTGGAACAATAAATGCCGATAAAATCACTGATTTTTGCGCGATTATAATCTCATGAGAATAGAATTCATTATTGTGCTATTGTTTTTTTTTCTAAAAAATGTCGTACACTTAACCACGGAAAAATATAAAAATGCAGCATAATATCTGTTTTGTCGCGTGTTTCCTCTATAAAATCTTGCCACTTTTAGAATAGAAGTTAAATTTTCAAAATCAACCTGAAATTGATTTTCTGTGTTTAGATATCTGATTGTTATCAATTATCATATCAAAATCAATCGAGTAAGTCCATGTTGCTTCCTTTCATTAATTTCAAGGAAATATTTCTTGGATTTACAAAGAAATGCGGGATAAGCTAGCTTATGCTTCTCGATTCATATCTAATAGATATAGATCAAGTGTCTGCCCAGGTCAATCAATCCTAACTAACGGATTCCGGTGCGGATATCGCCGGAATCTGGCAAAACCCGGCAAGAATAGACAGGATTCGGTCGGATTTTGCCGGATTCCGACGATATCCGACGTCGGAATCCGTTAGTTAGGATTCCGGCAAAATTTGTACAGGTTCCAGCCGGAATTATTTGGAACCTACAGGATCCGATGTCCCCTCTTGGACCTGGGTGATGCAAAACATCATATTAAATTAGTTGACGAATGTTTGCTGTTTTCAATTTTCTTTCTTCATATCTCTTCGGGGTTTTACTCAGGTAGATAGGATTCGTTGTGACTTCACCCCTTTATAAGTTAAAAGACAGCTCTTATCCGATACCAGTGACTTGTCTTTTCTGATGAGACTACGTTAGAGCATGAATTCTTTCTAGACTATGTATTTCTTTTCTAGTTCATGTGTCTGGGTTCATGAACGGTTGATAATTATAGAAAAAGGAAGAAGTTAATAAATATCGTTTGTAATAAATTGAGAGCATGTAACGCGATCCATAGAATTTATCCATATTAACATTCACCATGAAATCGGCGGGGTGCAAAATGTCGGTCTACCCTAATAATCTCTGGAGCAACACCTAAAGTGTGTGCATGTGTGACTGTTTCTTCTTTTTCGACGCCCACTGATACCCACATCCACCCTTTACTGAAAAGATCCTTTGTTTAACGGAAAAATTAGGGATGTAACAGTACCGGCACAATAATATGGAATCCGATCAATACCAATGCCATTCAATTCTGACAATTCACTGCTGTATTGGTGCTGAAACATGCCTCATTTTAAGATTCCGAAGGATTCATAAAGATTCCTAAAGATTTATAGAGATTTCTAAAGATTTATAGAGATTTCTAAAGATTTCCAAAGATTTCCAAAGATTTCTAAAGATTTTAAAAGATTTCCAAAGATTTCTAAAGATTTCCAAAGATTTCAAGGGTTAAAATCTGCTTTTTCCCCCTTGAAAAAACCTCTGAGTAACAGATAAATGTGTTAGCGCAACAGCAAAAAACAAGATTCGAGAAACTAATCAAGTTGTTCGATTAGCTGCGATAATGTTCATCCTACGCAGCAATGCCATTGGGTGACGGCAAAAGTTTTTCGCATCACAAAAGAATTCCTGAGAGTAACGACATATAGCTTGACAAGCTTACCTTTTGTGTACGTAATAAGAAAACTTTCAGCATTCGTGGAATATCTATGAATGAGTGCAAAAACTGTTTCAATACATGGAAATGTTTTAAAGAGAGTGTAAAAATTTCAGGGAACCAATTGATGTGTTACATACTTGAGGGTGTGGGTGTGGGGTGTGATCCAATATTTTGTCAACTTATATTTCACTCATATTCACACACCCACACCCTTGAACAGTCTTGTTTTCGTCTGTTATTTTTTTCTATCCTATCTCTGCACATTTGCAAACACATGAGCTCTCAATCAGAACTTCACACTAAATATATGACGTAAAATGAAGAACAGATAAGAACAAGATTTAAGGAGAATACACAAAACAAACATAGACAGAAATGGTAGACGAATATAACTGACAATATCCAAGGAAAAAAGGATTTATATCGTGTAAACTATCAATATGAACTATGGTTGAGCGAAAGGAGAAAAATAATAAGAGAAAGATATATGAATGAACGTCACTTGGCACTCAACATGGTAAACCAAGTTACTGTATGCGATTTGCAAGTAGCTGCAACTAGTTAAAAATCTTGTTGGGCAATTCATTACTAATCGAAACGACTGCTATAGCGCCAGTTTTCATGTGTACGTTTATTCAACTAGTTGCAACGGGTTAGCGAAGATAGGTGCAGCACTCGCTTGAATATTTTCATATTTTTTTATAGTTAGTTACAACTGGCGCGGCAAGTTTTTTTTCATGCTTGAGTTTTAATGATTTTCACTTTTTACGATTTCGTCGATATAAAATATGAAACTTTGACTATAAAAATACTTTTTAGATTGAAAAATATGGGTTGTACTCAATGTCGATCAGGTATGTTATATGCTATTTGTAGTGATTTATTAATTACTGGTGCTACACTAAGACATCCACAGACATTGAAAAACAATACAAGTACACGTAAACAGCTATATGCTGGTTACGAAATTGTAGCTAAAGATTCATTACAAGATAAAGCACACGCTTTAGTACCTGAAACCAGTTTAACATTAAGTCTTCTTTGTGATTTAATCAATTTTTGTGGTCCTGCTATAGAGTATATAAGCCACCCATCAGTTACATCGATCAACACTTTGTCAGTTCCATAGATAGACAAGAACAGATAATAAGAAAATAACGCAAGTCATCGGAGAGATGGTTAGGTACATAGCTCGATGAATAATAATTGTACTACAACTACATGCATAAATATCAATAGACAAAGTTAGATGGAAAGGTAGACCGATAGTCTGCAAGCTCGACAGATCGAAAGACAAAGAAATAGATAGATAGATAGATAGATAGATAGTTAAAGAAATATTTGAATATGTAATGAGTGTTGAAAAAAACGATGATGTAATTTTTATTTTCAATTTTTCTCCTTCCCCTTCGCATTCATAAGGCTCATCGTTTTACCAAAAAATTTTTCATTCATTTCTCTATAAAGTTATGTAAAAAAGATAACCATAACATTCGTCATGCTGTTCTTATTGAACCCAAATGCAAATATCCTTAACAACATAAAAAATCAATTTTTTCTATCGATACTTTTGTAGTTTGAACACTTCTTTGACAGTACTAGGAAGAAGATCATTGACCATCTCTTAGTACCTTTAGATGTTGTCATTTTGATGATGCATATTCATAGTGTGTTCTTCCGTCTGATATGATAAAAATGCCTACTGTATAATTGCTAGTGATCATTGAATAAAATGCGTTAGTAACAGAAATTCTATTGTTCAGGAGTTACATCAAACACTTCGTACATCAGTTGGATAGGCAAAATATTTATCTTCAAAATAACAGAATACTAAGCTCCATTGGTTTGTTTTTGGCTGAATACTGTCAATTTTAAAAATAATTTCAAATGCAAATTGACAAGATGAGAAAAGCGGTCGTGGATTACTGCAAAAGATATTACTTTAAACATAGAACGACAAAAAATCCGTAGTATAATATCAACGATAGAGGAAAGTTCTTAGGACATTTCGATATTTGTTCATTAAAGACAGTATCTCAAATCTTAGGGTCATCTTTCAAAGATCATTTTGTAAAGAAATAACCGAAAAATCATTGAATAAATAGCTCTGCTCTTTGAGTGCAAAGAGCGAGAAGACAAAAACAGAAAATAAAATGATATCTTTCTTTTTGGAAAAAACCGTTAGATAATGAAAATAGCAATAAGATCAGATATTAATACTGCTATGAGGAAGAAATGTGATGAGTTCCCGCCATTGTATTCTTAGATTACAGGAAAATGCCCGAATGAGCACAATTTTGGTGATATGGGGATCTTCTCTAATATTATTCTTCAACAATCTTTGACTTATCCGGTTCAACAGCTAATTTCATAGATGTTGTAAGCTATTACATCATTTTTTGAGATGTCAGATCTGAGTCATGGGCGATAGGCGTCAATGAGCAAATACAAACACAAAATAGACGCTGATGTGTTCAGGAAATAAGACCTTTTTATTTTATAATCCGACTAGGGATGTGCAGTTTCGGTGAAAACCATGAAATACTGACAGTGATTTCACTGCAGTGAGCGCACTGACTACACTGACTGCACCGACATTGGTGTTCACTGAACCAGCGCATACACTGACACTGATTGCACTGGCTCCACTGGCTACACCGATATTGGTGTTCACTGAACCAGTGTATACACTGGCACTGATTGCACTGGTTCCACTGGCTGCACCGACATTGGTGTTCACTGAACCAGTGGATGCACTGGCACTGCCTGCACTGGCTCCACTGTCTGCACCGACATTGGTGTTCACTGAACCAATGGATATACTGACTGCACTTTGTTGCACTGACGTAGAATGAAACATTGATGTATTAATATAGATTTCCATTGACTCAGTGAACACCAATGTCGGTGCAGACAGTGGAATCGGTGCAGGCAATGCCAGTGCATCCACTGGTTCAGTGAACACCAATGTCGGTGCAGTCAGTGGAGCCAGTGCATGCAGTGCCAGTGTATACACTGGTTCAGTGAACATCAATGTCGGTGCAGACAGTGGAGCCAGTGCAGGCAGTGCCAGTGCATCCACTGGTTCAGTGAACACCAATGTCGGTGCAGCCAGTGGAGCCACTGTCAGTGTATGCACTGGTTCGGTGAACACCAATGTCGGTGCAGACAGTGGTCAGTATACTGAAACTGCACATCCCTAAATCCGACTGGCGTCACTCGTCGAGGACATCACAGGAAACGTTCTCTACTACGATGACGTCATTAGATTTAAAAGTACGGACCAACCATGGATACTAAGCAATAAAAAAAATAGAATCACCCATCTCTGCTCAATATTTTCGATTATTTGTGATACTATAGAACCAAAATGATATTTTCTAAGACGAACTTCATTCGGAACGAATAAAACAACAAATATTACACATATCGATACATTTTGAGAAATAATATCCGATGTTTTCGTGTGAAAAAAGAATGATATTCTGAGTTATTCGCACTTTTTACTGGTAAAACTCAGTCTTGTCGAAACTAAATATGATATTTATGAACAGCGTAATTGGAAAGGCTAGGGGTGGGTGGGTGTGGGTGTAGATGTGCATGAAAGGAACAATAATATCCACATCCACACCCATACCACAAAATAAGGGTAAGCGAGAAGTCAAAAGCAGATATTGATTACTCAGGACATTCAAAGGGAGGAAAAGCTGAAATTTTGATGACGATTGATTATTTTTGTCTTTTCTCTATGAGATCATCTATTCGAGTTATTTATAAAAATTTACTGCGCTCTTGTTCCTATTAGCAGGCTGATAATCTTATGTTTTCGTCTGTAAATTGATCCATTTCAAAGTAACGTTCAGGAAATGCAAAATTTCGATTGTATTCTATTCTTCACTAATATGTTTTCTTTAAAAAGTCAAATTATAGATAAAACCCAATGTATGATCCACAGTCTCTCTTGGTTTGACAAAACTTCTGTAGTTGCTCTGATTCTTATTTTCTAAACCATCTAGAAATCATCGATTCTGATTAAGTATCGGAAACTCAATAGAAAAATATGACTTAATTCACTGTAAAACTAATAAAAATAAAAAAAATTCTATCCAATACAGATAGTTTGAGAATAGATCTTCTGGACGAAATTGTTTTCTCTTGTCGTTGTGTTCTATATTGTATCGTTTAGTCCCCAACCAATCACTAAAGACTCTCGCTCTGTCGGTGCTAACTAATTATTTACTAACGTTGACATGGATAGATTGATAGAATGCTCCATTTGTTAATTATATCTCGTTTTTGGAAACCTAAGGACTGTTTTCCTGTTTGGACGTAAGTGTGAGTGATATGAAAATCTGTTAAGCGGCACAATAGTTGTTTATTCTTAATGTTTGCCAGTTGAAAGTTCGAATATTTGATAAGTTAGAAAGGAATTCTATAATCGCATTCACTTCTTACATCAGCATATAAATCTAAGAAATCCTACAGATCGGATACTTCGTCCTGACCTGTTACATTCTATATTACTTACATAAATCAGTGATACAAGGAAACTAGATTAGAAATCTTAGAGAACAATCACTATGCTAGCGGATGTATAAGAATTTTCACTCAAAAGAGGAGATACATCTTTAATCTTACAACTGTGAGAACTGTATTAGAATTGATAGTGCTAATAAACTGGCAGTTTCTTTTTGTAATCAATATTAATTTAAGAAACATATCACATAAGCAAAGTACTCAAGTCATTATCTGTAATAAAAAATAAATAGATATCAAACGGATGCCACATAGAATATAAGAATGTATAAACTAAAGTGATATAAAAAAAGACGCAAGACGATATCAGAAGACTCTAAATCATTACAAAGGAAACATGTATTTCTCTGATCTACGGAATCTATGAGCTAGAATTTCAATATCAAATTAAAAATATTAAATCAAGGGAAAACAAACTAATTTCTATTCTGGAAATGATTAGACGTCATTAGAAGTCACCAAAAATCATAACAATGCCTTAAGGATACGAGCAACGAATGGAGATGGTTCATAATTATAGACAACTATCAGAAGCCATTATAAACCATGAGAAATCATTAGAAATGAATAAAAAATCACTCTAAATTATAGAAAATCTATAGTAATAAGATTAAAATTAAAGTCCTGCAGGGTGAGCTGATAAAAACTGATTTTCACTGATAAAAATCACCAGAAATCATCAAAGAGTGAAAATGATGTTGAAGGTTATCGAAAATAGCACAACGAGGCTATTATAAAAAGAATGATGATCTTTTATTGCAGATGCTTCGACCAAGACTGCATCAGCCACAAAAAAAAAAAGAACAATAAGCTCCAGCAGAGCTCGAGTAATGCAAATGATTCGTTAGTGCTTTGTCCTTCTTTCATACCTATTTTCTTTTGTTCATAGAATTATGCAGCTGCAGTAGACAACACCAATATCATACACACCGAAGCCAGTTCCATTACTCCCCAGGTCAGGCGATAATCATTCGAGAAAATGAATATTCATCAAATATCTCATATTTTTAGATGCCGACTATGGAAATCAACCGTCGAGTAAATAAAGGTAGGATATTGTTGATTATTGCCTTCCAAGTGTGCATGATTATTGATAATCCAAATTATTGGATTAAAATTACTGTTATTCCTCAGATGCACTGAGTGCATTGGAGAAATTCTCAGGTTATATGATCACTTTTCGAAGAATTTTTCTCGCTTGTCTATTGCTCGCGTATGCGTAGGTATCCAGTTTTTTGTAATAAATATCGCAATTTATTCAAAGACTCGAAACATATGGCCATTACCAGAATAATATTTTCGCCTCCTTTGTATTTCTGCCACCACGTCTTAGTGAAAACATGTGAATACGTTTGAAGAAAACGTTATGTTCTCACATTATCTCCAGTAAGGAATACTGTTTGAGGCATTGACTTTCCATATTATTGACGGAATGGTTTTTGAAAATGCTTTCTCAAAGTGCTTGAAATTATAAGAAACTCATCATCTAATTGACCATCAAGTAAAAGTCAAAAACAAAATATGATTTTGCGATTACTCTAACATCATCTCGTAATGAATAAGAGATTTGTTTTTCCTTCATTTTCTGAAGGA